TGGCTTTGGAAGTATTGAATTCGTATGCACTGACACAGCAGATGTGCTCTGAAAAACAGAAGGTATGTTGGAGTATTATACAGTGAAGCCATAAACAAGAGACTTTACATAATCATCAATATGCCTAGTCAGTTACAGGACTGAGGAATCCTTTGCTGTTAGCATTACAAAGTTAATTAATTATCTGACTAGGGAATCTGCTGTTATTTTTACAAGCCAGCACAAATGGCAAATATAAAATTTAAAAAAAAAATCAAGGGACAACAAGGGACTACTTTCATTGCATTCTTCACCTCAGATCTGGTGCAAACTGATCATTTATTAACAATTTTTAACATCACCACATCTGCCACCTCCCACCCTCCCTTTCACCTGGAATCCATACAGCTGTAAATAATGTTCTGCAACAAAGCCTTCTGTTCATGTGGTTAAAACTGATATCATTTGTACTTTCATCAGCAAGGAGAATGGCAAAAAACAGATGCAGAAAGAGTGAAGTATATGTTCATGTCCCATTACCACACTCCAGGACAATATCCCAATAACAAAATAATTAATAAATCCCTCACAAATTTGTAACTGGACAAAAGACCTAGAAACCAAGTCCTGATATGAAACTGGTACCTCCCAAATTTAAAGCAAGAGAGAGGTTCTCTATAAACCTTCCTGGATATCTGGAAACAAACATGATTCTGCATTCTCCAGTGCACACTGAAGCTATGTAGATGACATGGAAGCTACATTATTCTTTTGGACGTGTCCTCAAGTGTTGTTTTTGTTTCTCGGCTATACAACCTTGTTGTGAGTTTTTGCCGCTTCCTTTTCGGAGGTTTCTTGGTCTTGGTCGTGAAGCAGTGAGTGACCAGCCCACTGACTCTGCACAATTTCTACTCAATCCTGATTTGACTGCCACAGCCACCTAGCAGTTAATCAGGAGGCTTTGGGTGAGAAATGGGCACTGAATTTTGCTTACGAAACATATTTATCTCCAGCGTTAAGTTTACCAATGCGCCCATACTCAAATGACATGTTTCTAGTGTCTATCCTCGCCTGCGGCACTTGTCGATATCTGTCAAAATCAAAACAGCACCAAGGATGTTTTCCTGCACTACCACTGGATCTTATTAAGTGATACTAAAAACACATGTAATTGTTATTGTAATTTCAAAGTCACAGAATATTCACAATCAACACAGCTAATTTGCTATGAAATATGTAAGCTAATTTATTTGTCTATACCTGTGGGTATTCCTCTTTAGGCTTCTTTTCTTTTGAAGAGGTATCTGAGTTCCGACGCACACACCTCATGCACTTCCGAGCGGAGTGGCGGAGCCTGGTAAGGATTTTCTTCACCCCACCCTGACGCATGACTTTTTCTGCAGTAAAAGGAGCACAAATTTTACAGTTAAAATTTTTAAATCTTCATGGTAAAAGTATACTAAGG